CACACACACACACACACACACACACACACACACACACACACACACACACACACACACACACACACACACACTGCCGCAAAACATGCGGTTTGCGACACCACAACAGTGCACGGTGTGGAATAGTGGTGGAAATCTTTCATGTCGTTGCTGTTTCGTTGAAATCTTTCGATAAAAGTCGTCTACCGCACACACTGCCTTGCGTACAAAAGCCAAACCACCACTCCACCACTCCACCACCTCGCTTGCCCTTGCCTCATCTTGCTTGCTTCCTTCCTGCTGAACGAGTGAGTGGGATGGATGTGTTGGGAGAGGGATGGCGGCGTGCTCATGGCTCTTGTCGGCGTATGTGTGTGTGTGTGTGTGTGTGTTTCTCTCTCTCCGACTGTTTGCTCGTGTGCTTGTCTATCTGCCTGTAATCCTTCACGCGCTTTGTGGCTGCGCTTGGTGACAACGGCACGGCATGACCATCACTCACTCTCACATGCACTGTTATTGCGCGTCTTGCTCACTGCTGTTTTCCTGTCACCCGCCTCTCCTGCCGCGTGTGGTGCACAGTGGCCTCCACGGTTTCTCGCACTGCCGGCGCCACTGCTCGCGTGCGTCGCCTATGCTCCCGCCCTGTGCTTGCTGGATACTGACGTTGCTGTGTCGCTTTTCACTCACACACGCACGCACAGCCACATTCAATCACACATGCACTTTGACACTCACACTCGTTCCCACGCTCGCGTTGGTTTCTCGCTTGCTTGCTTGCTGACGACAGCGCTTCCTCGGCACCGCAGCGCCCGCTGCCGCTGCCAAGGATGTCCAGGTACGTTGCGTACGCACTTCGACCGCTGACGACACCTCTCTCTCTCTCCCTTTCTCTCTCTCCCTTTCTCTCTCTCCCTTTCTCTCTCTCTCTCTCTCTCTCTCTCTCTCTCTCTCTCTCTCGCACACGCGTGTTTTGACACCCTGTAGTTGTGCTGACGCAAACCATGCGCCTGACGCGTTGCTGTGCTTGTTTTTCGTGGCTGGCTTCCTTGCAGGTGACCAAGCTGGCCAACGGCGTCACTGTCGTGTCCCAGGAGCCCGATGCCAATGTCACCACCATCTCCGTCACTGTCGGTGCTGGCACTCAGAACGAGACCTTCCAGACCTCCGGCGTCACCCACTACCTCCGCAACCTCGCCTTCCAGGTTGGTGCTGCGCCCGCACAGCCACCCTACCTCCGCTGGCTCGCTTCCTCGCTGCTTTCCACCCATGGCCGCACCTACCTCCCCGCAGCTCTCCCTCTGCACTCGTGTCTGCATCACTCAAACATACGCGCACACACACACTTTCTCTCACACACACACGCGCGCGCGCACAACGATATGCACCACCGCGTGCAATGTTACTCATCACCCTCCATCGCACGCTCTCTTTCCCCCACGCGCGCCATGTGTTTAGTCGACTGCCTCCCGCTCTGCCCTGCGCATCACCCGCGAGGCCGAGGCCAACGGCTCCCGCTACACTGCGGAGTCTGGCCGCGACTTCATCTCCTACAACGCCTACACCCTTCCTCAGAGCGCAGAGCACGCCGCAGATGTCCTCACAGAGGTCGTCGGTGGTACGTTGTCCCGACGATGTTTGTGGTCGTTGCTGGTAACGGTGTGATGGCATTGTCTGACCGTCATCGTTTGCCGCTTGACCTTGTGCTGTCTGTGCTGCGCCACCTCAGTGGGGGGCTCGTGCTTAACTTTTCGTTTTGCTTGCTTGCTTGCTTGCTTGCGTGCGCTCGTTTGCTTGTGTTGTGTATGTGTTGGCACGCATGTGTCCCCTCCCCCTTGACCTTACATTCGCTGCTGGCGGCACTGCATTTCATCTCAGCGCCCAACCTGCACGACTGGGAGGTCCCCAAGCAGAACGCCCGTGTCGCCCGCGACCTTGAGCTTGCCGCCGAAACACAGGAACTCGGTACGTACTCACAGCAGTGTTGGTGGTGTTGACAACGTTGTTATTGTCGCTGATGATGACAACGTTGTTATTGTCGTTGATGATGACAACGTTGTTATTGTTGATGATGATGACGATGTTAGTGCTCTGGAGTGTTGCGTGTGTTTGTGACATGTGCTTCTGCCTTGCTCGACATATTACTTTTTCTCATCGCCTTCTCCGCCCCTCTCTAACTGCTCTCCATCACACTCTCAAATACATTGCTGTGTATGGCCCCCAGTTCTTCTTGACGATGCCCACCGCGTTGCCTTCCGCAACACTCCTCTCGGCCGCCCCGTCCTCTGCCCCGCCTCCCGCGTACGTCTCCACCGCCTCTGCCGTCATCACCTGTTTGTCATTGTTTCGCGTCTGCCGTCATGTCGCACACGTGCTCCCTGCTGTCGTTCTTGTAGCACCGGTACTGCCACACACACGCGCGCGCGCATGCACAACGCGCAACACTCAACACACAACACACACTCGCTCCCTTACTCGCGCACCCTCGCTCACCACCGCCACCACCACCATCTTCCAACAGGTTGGCCGTGTGAGTGGCGCCGATGTGCGCGCCTTCCGGGACCAGTTTTTCTCGTCTGACCGCATTGTTGTTGCTGCGGCGGGCATTTCGCACGATGCGCTGGTGCAGGCTGCCGAGCAGAACCTCGCCAACATGGGGCCCAAGAAGGCCGCCCTCCCGGCCTCACAGTACTTTGGCGGCGAGGTCAGTGCGCAACACAGCATTGCTCTGTGTCTCAGGGGTGTGAGGGTGTGGGTGTGGGTGTGGGTGTGGGTTTGCGTGAGTCTTGAATTGCATGTATGCAACGTTGACGTACATGTTCACCGTGGTTGTGCGCTTTCTCCTCTTACATGCTTTCTTTCTCTGTCTCTCCTTCGTCTTCCCACCCTCACCCCTCACGCGTTCTCTCCTTTGTCCTCCTCGCCGCTGCACGCATGATTCGATTATTTCTCACCAACCACCACCACCACCTCCTCCTCCTACTCCTCCTCCTCTTGTCCTGTCCCAACTGCGTGCAGAGCGTGACGCCTGCGGACATTCCTGTTGCGCACGTTGCGCTTGGTTTCCGCGGCGCATCTGTGCAGAGCAACGACCTTGTTGCTGCCCTTGTCATCCGCAACCTCTTTGGCGGCGACGGCAGCAGCGTCAAGTGGTCCACGGACGCCTCCGCTTCCAAGTACGTGTCCTTTCAACTGCCATGCTCGTGTCAGCGACGTTTGCTGGCTGCATGATCTCGATTTTGTCGTGTGTGTGTGTGTGTGTGCGTGCGTATGTGTGTGTGTGTGTGTGTGTGTGTGTGTGTGTGTGTGTGTGTGTGTGTGTGTGTGTGTGTGTGTGTGTGTTGGTTTTGTCTTGGGTTGATGTTCCCTGCACCGGTTTTCTTATCCCTCATCCTCGCCATCGGTCCTCCGTCACCATCCACCACCACCACCATCCACCACCACCAACAGGGTTGGTGCCGCTGTTGGCGGGGCTGCGAGCGGCCCGTTCAAGGTGTCTGGCTTTGCTGCTGCGTACGAGACGGACGGCCTCGTTGGCGTGCACATGGCCGTGCAGAGCGCCGACGTCAACGCCTGCGTCACCAACGCCGCCGCCGCCGTGAAGGAAATTGTTGCCGGCAACATCAGCGAGGAGGACTTTGCCCGCGCCAAGGCCCACACCCGCCGCCAGCTCATCCCAGACACGCACGCCGACGCCACCACCGCGCTCGCCGCACAACACCTGTACAACGCGGCCTCTGTTGACGAGCAGCTCGCCAAGCTGCAGTCGCTCACGCTGGCCGATGTGAAGAAGGTTGCGCAGGCCCTTGGCGGCAGCCGCCCGTTTGTTGCTGCCCGCGG